AGGGTGCCTGAAACCTGCTCCTAGATGCAGATTGCGCCCGTGCCAGGGCTGAGTGTCACCAGGTGGCAGGACAAGGAGTTTGATTCTGCCGAGGGCCTCAGCTCAGACCCACTCTGCCCAAAGCCCCGCCTGGCATCCCATGCCCATCTCCAGCCTGAGCGTCCTGTGACTGCAGCGTGGCAGCCGCCCTGGCACGAGCGCACGCACGCACACACGCATGCATGCACAGCCCTCGCAGTGAGTCCAGTGACTCTGGGAGCGTGTCCCTCGGTGGCCCGGTCTGTGAAGGCAGGGTGTGAGGACAGATGGACGGCCTGTCTGCTGTGTCTATGTGAGGAAGTTGGGACCACACAGCCTTAGTCTCCCTGATACCCCCCCAAGCCCACTGTACCCCCATATTCAGCAGATGGCTTCACCCTGGCAGCACAGGCGAGCCTTCCTCTTATGTATGTGGATGACATAAGACAGACACACATGTAACCCACCGGTGTCTAAAGAACAAAGACATTGGCCTGGGGTTAGGGGAGAAAGAAGATTACAGATTTATTCTGAATATTTTCTAGAGATTTTATATTTATACTTTCAGTAATTTTCTGTTAGAAAATGGCACAATAAAGTGATTTGTTTGGTTTTGCTGGTTTGGTTTCCTCCTGACTTGGGCAGGGGGAGTGTGGGGGCGGTTGTTTTCTGTCGGGCGCACAGCTTTGTCTTTGTGGGCCTGGGACAGCGACGCCCGAGGCCCGAGGCCCAGGGACCTGGAACGTGAGGACAGGCTGAAGGGGACGGACCGCAGCGTCAGGCCCGTGGGGGGCGAGTGAGTGTCCCTGCTCTGAGCCAACCTTGGCCCTCTCGGGGGGGTCAGCGTGACGTGCACAGGTAAGACCCTTCTCAGGAGGCGCTGGGAGGGGATGCAGGTGACCGGTCGTCCTCCAGCCCAATGACTGTTAAGTTAAATTTATTGAGGTGATGCTGGTTAATGGCATTATATGATTTCCAGGTATACAGATTAGCACTTGACACCTGTGCCCCATTGCGGGCTCCCCACCCCTCCCGTCTGGTCACCACCCCTCTGTCGTCTGTGTCTATGAGCTTGCTTTTGTTTTGATAGTTTGTTGCTTTTTGTTTTATATCCCACCTACAAATGAAATCATTCCGTTCTTTTCAATCTGACTTATGTCACTTAGCACGACACTCTCAAGGTCCATCCATGTTGTTGCAAATGGCAGGATTCCATCTTTTTGATGGCTGATATTCCATTGTATGTATGTACGTACCACGTCTTATTCATCCGTTCGTCTGTCAGTGGACGCTTAGGTTGCTTCCATATCTCGGCTCTTGTGAATAACGCTGCAGTGAACATGGGGCTGCCTTTTTGAGTCAGTGTTTTCGTTTGCTCTGGATAAATACCCCAAAGTGGAATTGCGGGGTCACAGGGTAGTTCTGTATTTAACGCTTGGGGCACCTCTGCGCTGTTTTCCATCGTGGCTGCACTGGTGTAGAACCCGGCCACCGGCGCACAGGCTCCTGTCCTCCACGTCCTCACCAGTGATCCTCTCTCATCTCGTAATAGCTTTTCTGAGGGTGCCAGATGGTTTCGATTTGCATTCCCTTTTCCAGAGCCCTCTCCCACCAAGGAGGGACGGAGCTGTGTGAGTGCGGACAGTCTCCGGGGGTGGGGGGATGGGGGGGCAGCGCTGCTATCAGGTCTCAGTGGTCCCAGAGCTGCTCACTTGGGGTCTCCCCTACCCTGGGGCAGCCTGGTGTTCGATCCTTCAGAGACCGTGGCTCATGGCTTGGAGCAGAGCTGCTGAGGGTCAGTGTCAGGTCCAGGAACCCAGCGGACTCACAGCTGAGTCTGCCAGGCCTCTAACCTCCTTAAAAGGGAAGGGAAAGGGTGGGCCTCTGCCTAGCCATGTCACCGCCTCCGTGACCGTGCCAGGGTTTGGGGTCTACCGTTGAGGACGCGGGTCCCCGGCTCCACGTCAAGTGTCTCATGCATGAGGCCAAGGCTCCAACCTTTTCTGTGTTGGTTCTGCGCCTCCCCCATGGAGGACAGTGTGGGCGGGCGGGCAGGTGTGGGAAGGCCGGAGTGATGACCGCGTCCTTCACGGAAAAAGACCTGAGACACACAAGGGCCCCTCCTTACGCTCAGCACGGGCCACGACTTCGCCCCCTGGAGGGCTTCAGGGTGGGCTTCTGCCGTGTTCAGGTGTGAACTGCCTTTAACGTGCGACCCTCTCCCACTATCATGCGGAGAAGTTATTTCTGGCTAAGATCATGTATGAAAAATTGCAGTGTAAAAATAAAATCGAGCAAAGGCGTAAGTGTAAAAATGGATGTGCGGATGTCATGCTTTTAATACTCTGCTCCTAAGCTGAGCCGTCGGTGTGGGAACTGCGGTGCAAAGACGCGTTTCTTCACACACTGCACCCCAGCCGGCACAGTGAGCTCATGCTGTCGGGGCGCAATGGTGACGCTGGTGGAAAAGGGGTGCCTGTTCTGTCTCGTGTACTGACTGGGTGAGGACGTCGTGAGCCGGCCCTCCTGTTCCTCCGACAGGCTGGTTCAGTGTGTGGAAACACAGAGGGAGCACCGTGCAATGCCAGCTGCCCCTGAGCTTGACCTGCTACAGTAGCTGCTGCAGGGAATGAAAGCCTGAGGTGACCGGGGGGGCCACTTCGTGCCCAGAGTCTGCATGTGGGAGGGGGCGTTGGTGTTCAGACACTGCCCCAAACTCAGAGACTCCTTCTTGGTCAATTTCCACTCTCAGACTTCAGAATCCCTTGATGTCAGTAGGTCCTGGGAGTGTTCTAGAACTTTCTGTGCCCACTCAGCTCCCTGTCCTCGCACCCCAGTCCCACCTGCAGCACGCCCCAGTCCAGCCGGTGGTGCTGGTGGGAACTCGCGGTGGCTT